GCATCACATTTGCTATATAATCCCAAATAAAATATTTTGGAGTAAAATACACTGAGATGGTTAAAAGTCCAATGAGAATTCTGACAGCAGAAAAGTAAAGACGACATTTCGACTAAAAGAACACAGGTCAGTATTGGAAACAGCAGTTAAGAGTACAAAACAAAACATTCAATAACCATGTGCTTATGATTAAAGGGACTTCTGCTGAACTTCAAATGTATCTTATGTGACTTTTTCTCAAATGGTGACAACTGTAAGACACGGATACAGAACTTACATTCCTCTAAATGGTCATTTCAATTTCTTAGCATGTTTGGACTTCAAATAAAATTCTTCGGAGAAAGAAGGCAAATTTTTCCAAAGACTACCTGGAAAAAAACCTAAGGACTTTGAGGCATTTCTTCATAGGGAAGGCTGGGAGCAGTTAGCACACTGTGTGAATGCACAAAGCTAACTACTATCTGACAGGCTCTCTGCTAGCACATTGGCTATGGCCAAGAAGGCCAATGGCATCCTGGCCTGTAACAGAAATAGTATGGTCAGCAGGACTAGGGAAGTACCCCTGTAGTAGGCACTGGTGAGGCCACACCTCCAACACTGCGTTCAAGTTCTGGGCTTCTCACTACAAAAAGACATTGAGGTGCTGGAACGAGTCCAGAGAAGGGCAATGAAGAGGGTGAAGCCTTATAAGGAACAGCTGAGGGACTTGGGCTTGTTTAGCCTGGAGGAGACCCAGGGGAGACCTTATCCCTTTCTACAACTACCTGAAAGAAGGTTGTAGTGAGGTGCATGCTGGTCTCTTCTCCCAAGTAACAACTGATAGGACAAGAGGCAATGGCCTCAAGTTTGTGCCAGGGGAGGTTTAGATTTGATACTATGAAAAATTTCTTCAGCGAAAGGGTTGTCAAGCATTGGAACAAGCTGTGAAAGGAAGTGGTGGCATCACCATCCCTGGAGGCATTTAAAAGACATGCGCTTACAGACAGGGTTTAATGGTGGACTTAGCAATGCTGCGTTGGACTCTTAAAGGTGATCTTAAAGGTCTTTTCCAACACAAACGATTTTAAGTAAGCAAGAGCTCAACCTACCTTTGAATCAGAATTAATTACTTTTGAAAAGCTTTGTCTAATCAGTGTCTAGCGGAGTTTGCTCCACTATCAACGGAATAAATTATCTTACGTTTAATGTTGTGGTTTAAGCTGAAACCAGGACAAATGTATATTGACTGATAACATGGTGCACTAATACTGAACAGTTGCAAAGCATGAACAAAGTTTACAGTTACCCAGCTTTCCCACATAGACAAAGTTTCTGTATGTTACGCAACATAAAGCTGTCAATTTCTAGGAGAGGTGACTGAACAGCTCAAACTTGTCTATGTAAGTAATATACTATACTTCTGCCTGACAGCACATTCATACTCCATAGATACTCCAAAGCTTCATAAAGGGACCTTCACTCTTCTAAGTAAAGACAAAATTGGAAGTATTGCTGCCAGCTTTAATGGAAAATTAAGCCAGCCACTGAAATACTTTTCCCCTGTTATCACATATATTTTAAATGTCGGCACTTGTAACATTGTCCATGAAAAACTCCTGCAATACTTTAAAATGCCTAAGGATTTCACTCTGATAAAATCTGTTCAGTGATGACACAGCACGGAGCAATAATAAGAGCAACACTATACGCAGAGCTCTGCTATTGTGCTGGATGTCTAAATATAGGGCTTGCAAGTGGTGTGGGGGGAGTAAAGTCTCAGAAGGCTGCAGAATCACCAAGTCTTAGATAAAGAAATTATTACTACTGTGGCAAAATACATCTTCCTTGATGCAAGGGAGTCTACGAAATTACCTTTTTTATTGTTAGAGGCTGTATCTAATGAAAGAGTTGGATGTGAAAGGGACTCTGAAAAATGTGCTTGCTGGATATAACCATCAAGTCCCAGCAGTCTACCTTCTGCTGGAGGTTCCTACCCTCTTACAACTATATACCATGTCACACCAATAACCTCAACTATGCAACCCTCACAGATGCATTTCTATTTCTTTTTCTTTGGAAGGGTGGTGGTGGTGTTACGTGCTATTTTTGGTAACTTAACAACACTGAGATAAGTAATAAATACCTAAGAGGCATATAGAGATGTCAAGGTTTGGAGCCTGGTGTTTCTGTTACAATTCTTTTTAGCAAGACAGACGTAGGCACCACCAGAATTCCACCAGAATGTTAAGGGCATGCATTGTAGCTGAGTATATGGACACAAATTAAGCCTAATCATTTTAGTTGCCAACATGCCTGTCAAGAAGATGGGACTTACGCATCAGAGATGAACACTGGCAGATTTAGCTGCAGTGGTTTTAAGGTATGACTGCCCTCAGTCCACCATCCTCTGCCACACGCCAATGGCTATTGCACATGTAGGTAAATTTGCTGTATTTCTATACCACTCTATCACTGTATGTATACTGCCATAACTTACTGTAAATCTTTGCCAGAAATCATT